AAAGATCCCATTTAATATCTTAAGGAAAAGCCTTATTAAGAATCATTTGAGGATGTTTGATCCTGGATGGAGCAAGACAATGATTGCTATGACTTATATGGTAGATCAGAAGCTATTGTGGACTTTCTGCGAATGAAATAAAATAGATTGTTAACAGAGAGTTTAGAAGTTTAATTTCTTGTGTTTTACTTGTTAACTATCTTTTCATATATTTGATAGATGTCAAACTATGTAGTTTGGGTAAATAGCGTTGTAGAAGTTTATAAATTGTGTGCCTGCTTTGCAAGGGGTGAGGAGTTATTATCTTTGAAATATATTTATCAGTATTCAACTGGGGGGACGATTTACAGTATGCATATGTCTGCTTTGTTTTGTCTATGCACTTTTTTGGTGTAGCTTTGAGTTTGTATTTTTATGTTTTGAATAAAACAAAAAAATGAGATAGAAAATATAAGGTTATTGGAATTAGAAAGGCAGGATTCAAAATATGGTTGGCCGAGTTATTTGTGGTACAGTTAAAGCTAACGTAAATTTTAAAAACCATTTTATTAGACATACACACTGAAAATTTGGAATAAGCAAAAGTATCTCCTAAAGTCCTTTTATGTTTGGTACCCCAAGAAGTCTTTTTTAGAAGGGAAATGATAGTTAAACAAAAATGTTTAACCTGTGCTGATTTGCTGAATTTTTTCCAAGGAAAAATTATAAACAAGAGAAAACGTGGAATTAGAAAGTTTTATATGGTACTGAGTTTCTAATATTCAGCTAATGGATTCAGGTTGAATAAGAAGAATTATGAATTTGAAAATCTAAGACTAAATTTCATGTGAAACCTTGTACAAATATATATTATTGCTAAGATGTATAAACTCTTATTGAAGATGGAAATAGATGAACAAATTATAGATTGTATAGAATTATTTATTGGCCAAGTGTGATTGTACACACAAGGAATTTGTCTCCGGTGAATAAGCTGTGTACATACAAGCAACAAGTGATAAATCATGATCACATAATCATATATATAATCATATATAATAAAATGGGCAAATAATTTTAGGATACAGTGTAGACTTGGACCGATGGGAGATTATGTGTATGGGGGGGAAGGGTTGAAATTTACAATGAATTATAATCTTAAACTCAATTTTTATAAAATAATGTACTCCTGGTACATGACACTGGACAGATATATCAAAGATATATAAAGCAATTTCAAATATGTGTTAGAAATGTAATCAAACTGAGGGTACTTTTTTTCATCCCTGGTGGACTTTCAGATTTTAAAATGAATTTTTAAAATCAGAGACTTTCATTTGGGGTCTAATGGATAAGCAAATGGAATCTTATGGAACTTTGTTTTCATACATGACAACAGTAGCAAGGTATCATTTCAGTGGGAAGGTAACAAGAGTTCTGTGCGTCTCGGCGTATACTCATGTTTACCACATGACCATGGCTTTGGACAATGCTCGTTCTCTTGGTTAAGAAATGGAGATGAGCACCGCCCCCTAGAGTTGGACGCAACTGGACAGGAGAAGCCTTTACCCTTTTTTATAAGGGAAGAAGATGGAGAAGCTGATGGAATTGGTAGAAAAATTGTCAGTCTTGATGAAAGAAAAAGCTTTTGTCTAATTTTATTTCTATTTGGAAACCACTTTGGGATTTTTTGTAAGAAACTGAAAGAAATGAAAAGTTGATTTTGGGATTTAATGATAGAATTATATAATGTAGATAATTGTAAATTTCAGATGTATTTTCTTTATTCATATCTGTACCCAAAAAAGTCTGAAGTCATCTTTTTCTATCTTTCATATTTGTTTGTTTCTTTTCTACACTTCTACCTTTTTTATTTCTTGAACATTTTGCTAAATATTTTCCCTGTTGATTTATCTTTTAAACCTGTATTTTTATGAAAATCAATATAAATATAAATACATATCAGATTAATGTTTCTGGTGGACCCAGATTCCCTTCAATACATGATATTCAAGTATTTTACTTATAATATTTATATTCCACTCTTCCTCTTAAAAGTATTCACTCCTAATACTAAGATTACATTTTATCTTTGTAACGATGGAGTGCAGCTACTTCTCCATCCAAATGAATTTCTGAGCTGAATTAGAAAAAAAAATCAAATTACCAATCCTATATTCTCTACACATACTATTCTAAATCTTTCCAAAGTAGGTTTCAGTGTCAACTATATGCAATCTGGTTGCATCTGAATCACTATGCTTAATACCACGTTACAATAAATTGTTTGAATAGCCTTAGCAAAAGAAATTGGTATTTTCCTTTCTTTTTCAATATATGACAAAGTTGTCAATATTGCATTACATGTATCTTCTTAGCTTTTGTCTAAGTTCCGTTGTGGTACAAGCACCAATTGAAAACCAACATACCCTCCATTTATAGAGCAAATTGTTACTATTGCATTCTACAGACAAGAAAGCAAAATGGAAACAATGGTTTTGCCACATTTCCTTGGTTTAAAACAAATCTTAACAGGAATTGGGGTAAAGGCCTTTTAGATCCAAGTCCATCTCTTTCTTTCAATGAACACTTAGTCAACACTACTATTCCATTAATGCATTACCGAAAGTTAGTCTTTAAAAAAACCCACTCCAATAATTCTGTCTTGCACACTTTAACTAGGTAATTTATGTTAATTACTGACCATCTGTTTCTCTGCCTCACCATCTAGAAGGGCAAATTGAAAAATTCAAGTAACAGATGAAAAATCAGGTATAAGTTAATGCCCAGCAGATTTAGTGAAAGATCTTTAGTTTCAGCAAAACCCAGCATGATCTGAACATGTAGATTACTAGAAATAAATTACAGTAGTCATTTATACCTGTTTGTTAAATGTTTATCTACATTCTTTAGGCATTTGAAAAAAATCTTGATATATTCAATTATGCAACAAGCATAAAATGTTTACTAGTTATTAGGCTTATACTTGAAATTTGTAGAATGACATTTGTATATGTTCTGATTAATACAATTATGTTATTTCAGCAGATAGTGAACACAAATAGAAGATTAGCTAATTCATAAACTGTATTTCACTTATTTTGCTGTTGAATTATTAGACAACTTGTTTTTAGTTAAATATTAATCTGTGCTGACTGCTTTTATTTCATTTTCCAGTTCACTGAACTTATCGATGTATGTCTCAACCAATTACAGAATGGGTTCGGACATGACCATTTCTGTCTTAAAAGCCGTTATATAATCCATTGAGTATATCAGGAAGCTGAAGAAGGTGAAACAAAATGAGACATATTCAAACATAAAATGATTTAATATTAACAAAATTGATTGCAAAAGTAGATTTTGAAACATGTACTGAAACATACATAAAGACTGAATATTCAGGTTATTGCCCACTTCACTGTACCACAAACAGAAATAAAGGAAAATACATATGAAAATACTGGAGAATTCTCACCATGTATCTTTTTGCTTACAAAAATAAATAGAAGTCTGAATTTATGTTAGATAATCAATGAAATAAGAAATAAAAGAACCTCCTGTATATATAGTAGAGCAAGGATATCCACTATGCATAGCTAATTATAATTCAATTAAGTAATTCAACCATTATTAGTATTCACATATGGCATATATACATCTTGATCATGATGGGTTAAATCAATTTCTGTTATAATAAAAAGATATACAAAAGATTTCAAAACTCTGCAGGGCTTACATGTTAAGTTTGCAATTTGACAAATACTTACCTTAGAATAACTCTTTGAGCATAACTTATGAGCTTTGTGTGTTAATTTGACCAATGTCTCTTTATTTGTAGTAATATTAAAACAGCTTAATATGCTATAAATTGATTAACAAAATCCTAATTTGTTCCTTCATTAAGACTATACCTGTGTAATATCCATTATTATTCTTTCAGAGACACATAGACTTGTATTTTAAAGGGCATACTCAGAATCTGAAATATGATCTCAGCAACATCCACGCCTAGTTTTCTCATTGTGTTTGTTAAGCATATTTACTTACTACCCCTGTAAAAATTCCCAGTGTTTATAATAATGTATGATCCGTCTTCTCTAAAAGAAAAAAAAGAATGTACTTGATTTGAATCAAGTTTCTCCTAAAAGCATAACTGAGTCTGCAAAATAATAAAGATAATAGGGAGGGCGGGAGGGAGGATGTAAACAAGAGATGAGTTAGACCGACTAGATTAAACATTTCTAAAGCAGACACAATTCATCTAGGGATCAGCATTCTCTTCAAGGTTGAAATCTGGTTCAGGTAAGAAAAAGGCTAATGCAGACAGACTTTTTTCTGGGCATCCCAATTTGCCCAGAGCGCGCTAACTTGATGAAAGCTGGTTTTAACGGGGCGGCTGTACAAGGCATTTCCTCTGAGCATCTTCGCTTCCCATCACCTCTTCCGCCCACTCTCTCCTCGCGCATCCTTCCACCGCCTTCTAGCACAGCGGCCACGCCTTACAGTACCGCACTCCACAGCCAACCCGGGGGGGGGAGCGAAGTCGGGCTTTCCACAGAGAGTGGCCTCCACGGTTTCCTTCCCACCCCTTATAACGTGGAGCGAGCCGCCCTTTCAGTCCCCCTACCTTCGCCTGCGTTTTTTCTCAGGTTCCCAACCTTCCGGTCGCTCAAACCGTCCCTGTCAGTGGAGGAAACGGAGCTGGCGGGAGCCCGCTCGCTCTGCCAGGTCCCCGACCCATTCCGAGAGGCGGCCGGAGGTGCTGCTAACCGCGGCGGATTCCCACCCAACCTCCACCCCACCCTACCCCCCCCCCGCGCGCCCTCCCGCCCTTATTCCCGTCTATTCGGCGGGAAGTTGCTCGGAACACCTTCCCGAACTGCGGGAGGAAGGGAGAGAGGGAGGCAGAAGGGAGGACCCCCCTCCTCCTCCTCCTGCCGCCAACCAACCTCAGAGGAGCCCACCCGGTCCGTTTCACACACACACACACAGGCTCCCCGCCGCCTGCCCAGCGTTACCTCTTTCCTCCTGCTGGGCGCCCCCGGGCGCGTGAGCAGAGCGGTCTCTTCGCACACCACGACCACATCTTCCACAAAGACACAGTCGGGCAAGCTCTCGTCGGCGGGCAGCTCCAACACCTGCAGCCCCAGCTTGTTCTTGAGCACCCCGACGTAGAGCTGATGCTCCCGCTCGGCGCGCGCCAAGTCCACCTCTTTCGCCTTCTCCTGCCTCAGCGCCTGCAGGCACAGCGACTCCGGCAGCGCCCGCACCACGGCGTGACTGCACCGCCCGAAACCGAAGGGGCCGCCGCTCAGCCCTGCCATGTTCACGCCGGGATTAAAGCCGGGAGGGGAAAACAGAAGCCGAGCCGGGAGTAAAACCACAGCCCGCGCCTGCGTGTCTGGCTCCGCGCGCGCTGCCCCGGCACCACCGTAAGAAGCGCAGCTGCTGCCAAGCGTCCCCCTCTCCTCCCCGAGCCAGCTGAAATGGCCTCCTTCCCTCCCCGGCTAGAGGAGGTGGTCGCGAAAGCGCTTAGGAGCCGGAGCGGCTGTGGATTGGCCACGCCTTGCTATAGTACCTACATCATGCTCCGTGTTCATAGAAGCGTCCATTGGCCGGTTATTTGGCTTGGGATACCTGATTGGTTCAAACTGGTCAAAATTACCTCGCACCGATTTATAGCTTTGGAGAAACTGGCTGATGTTTAATTGCATTCCTGTTCACTGGCCATCTGCACATCGGGCAGATGCGGTGCGGGCTCACCAACCAAGATGGATGTAGAAGAAGTACAGCTTTCAAAAACATGTTAAGTTCTTCATCAGAGTAACAGTTTAGGCTAAAAAGAGATTGCGTACTCTCCTCCCCCTGCCTACTATTGAAGATAATTTGAAGGAGAGGGGGTGTACAAACATCACACTTGGCCTTCTGATAATCACACTTTACAGATTGTGCTTTGTGGGGCTTTTTAATTGGAGGGGGGGAGGGAACCCTTCTGAAAGTGAACCGAATGTGTCCAGATTGTCTTAAAAACTTGTGAAGAATAAAAATAATTTAACATCTGCTACATTTGGATATACGTACATATAGTATACTCACATATACAACCTGTTAAGTTCCATAGTTCAATTTCCAAATTATTACATGTAAAATTTCAACCTTAATCTGGGTTTGGAAATTCTGGATGTTTTATTTAAATTTTGACAGCTGAAAATTGCCATTACAGAGAGGGCTTTTTATTCTATAGTTTTCTGGAAGTGAATATAGAACATGTTGTCTTCTAGATCAATGTGTACTGGAGAAAACTAGACTAGAATTTTGCACTTTCCTTCTTCCATTCACTGGAAAACAAAGTGGCTAGCCTAATCCTAACACCTTAGTATTCAAGTTAAATTGCCGTGTTGGCATTTTGCGATAAATAAGTGGGTTTTGGGTTGCAGTTTGGGCACTTGGTCTCTAAAAGGTTTGCCATCACTGGGCTAGGTTATTTTTTACTGCCCATATTTTATGGGGACATTTGGACAAAAGAACAACTAAGTTTAACTTATAAGAATTTTTTCATATAGTATATTCCTCAGCAATGGCAGGACACACATAAAAAGTGATGTGCAACCCTAAAATAAATTTTAAAAATGGTTTAAATAATCCTGTCACAAGAAAGAAGGGGAGTAAATTCAGGTCTCACCCCTTAAGAGGCAGCTCTGCAGACTTTTTGCTACCACTTGAACCATGAACTTCAACCCTTCCCCCCATGTTAATTCTCCCATCAAAAGATTGGCCATTCCTTGTTTATGAGAAATGTAAAATGAATGAAAAGCCATGATTCTGATCTCCACAACAAAAGACTAAGGAGGAACATGCATCGCAAGATGAGATCTAATTAGCAACCTGTGGCCCATTGAGTCATCCTTTCAGAAGTCTTTCCCTATCTAAACTGAGAAACTGAATGACCACAGGCATATTGCTATAGTTTTGGATTCTGTTTATTTAAGGAAATAGCTTTGAAAGGATGACCCAGTGGATCACAGGTTGTCTTGTTAGATCTATTTAACCCTTTGTTTATGAGTTCTCTCTCACTCATCCTAACATGGTGTTCTGTCTTGACCATAACTTCCCCCTCTCTTTCCACATGGCATAATTATGCTGACAATATTTTTTTGAAAAACATTGAGAATGGCTGTACATTGCCATTCTCAATACACAAATGCCAATTTCTCCACTGAATTGTAGGAAGCTGTCAAAGAAAGTTTAAAAATAGGATCACATAACTTTCTGAGGGCTAAGGCAAGTCCAATCTAGCTGATCTTTGATGGCCAAAGGAAGGGGCAGTCCACACTCAATTTTGGAGTAGGAAACAGCTGGAAACTGAAGCAGAATGGGCAAAAACTAAGGTATACTGGCTGATATATTTGATTGACACTGTCCAGTTTCTACTCCAATTGCAGCAACAGCTGTTTGCTTGGTGACTTTCAGCCCACCCTACCTCACAGGATTGTTTTGAAGATATATAGGGGGATGGAACACTAAGTATGTGCCTTGAGTTCATGAACAAGGTGGGATATAAATACATGTACTGTATATGTTTGTTCCCAGAGAAGGGGCACATAAAGCAGTAAAAAATATCCAGGCTTTTCTTTATGCACCTTAAAATTGTGGCTTCTTTAAGAGCCATATGATGAGCTAATTTCTTCCAGTTGGGTAAGAGAAGGAGGGAGGGAGGGATTGCAAGACTGGCTGGGAAACTTCACATTGAACATTGAAAATGAAAGATAAGGTGACTGCAGCAATAGGCAGTAGGACTAAAGCAGCCACAACCCAGGAATAATGGGTCCTAGATTTTAGACACATTCTGTATATTAGCCCATCTGAGTTACATTGGTTCAAAAACTGCTGCCCTATGATGTACTGTTTCGCCCAGTTAAAGGTCATGACAACTAGAGTTTTATACATGTTATATACGTGGACCCAAGTTACAGGACTAGGATTGTCATCTGACCTAAGTCAAAAGCAGAACCAAAAAGGAATGTTCATTTCCTTCTTTATGGATGAGTTCTGAGGTACAACAGCATGGTCAATAATGTTCAGTTTCATTGACTGCAAAGATGTATGGCTGCTAAATTTATTTTGGCTCCACAAAGAGAAATTGAGAAGGTTTTGTGCTATGCTGAGAAACAGAGGCAAGCTTCTATAAAGGAGCATAACACATCTCTGTTAAGTAATACATAGCCATTTGAAATGATAGTAAAAATGCTTATTGGTGCATTCTTGTTTCTGAAATAGTGTCATTTTTAGCTTTCCTTTCAAATGTAGTAAATTTTAAAGGAAATCATTCTGCCAAAACATGTATCTAAACATGTATAATAAAAATTGTATGGGCCTGACTGGATGCTGCCTGACCTTCCCCCCACCCCTCCATCCTCAGCTGCCTGGCCTTAAAAGCCACTTTAACAGCAGAAACTCTATATGGGGTACACTCCAACCATAACAATTATTTAACAATATATACACAAGACACCAACAAACTGCTGGGGCCCACATCTACTTTACTTTCTGAAGACCTCTTGAATCAACCAGGTCTTAGTAGCCTTCCTGGACTGTAAAAGGTTGGGAGTTGTTCTAATCCTATAAGTGTTCCAGAAGAACAGAGTTGTTACAAAAAGTCCCATTTTCTTTAGTAGGAAGTGTTACCAATGTGTCATTTTAAATGTATGTTTTCAGTAACTAAGGCATTTTTTAATTCAAATAACCCATTGTTGGATGCTGTTTGAATATCCAAGAGGATTCTCTTGCTACTACACCACTCTAGAATCAAACCTTTTCCATACAAACACTCTGGTATCTTCATGAAGTTATGGAGTTGTCGCCACAGTTGACAAGCTGATCCAATTAACATTTAGCTCAACTGTTGATTTAGAAGAAATCTCCAATATCAGTCTTACAGTGTTTCTTTTGTAGCTATCAAAAGGACAGTTTCCTATTGACAGGATGCTGAATCACCTTGCTGCCACCACCCACCAAAAATTCAGGTCAACAGTGTGACTTTTGTCACATGGTCCCCAGGTTTGATTCATTTTTTCCTGCAGAAATAGAAATAAATTACCATTGCAATATTAGCTCCTTAAAGAACATTAAATTATATTTTACAATTGGGATCCATACTTAATTGAATCAATTCAGTAATTTCAACAATATTAGATAGAACAAAAATATTATTTCAACCTTTATTGTAAGAAATCTTTCTTTAATGCACTTTTTATGAGTTATGAGAGTTTGCCATTTTATATTGCTACAAACAAGTTTTTAAAATTAAAATAATATGATACAAAAAACAATAACATCTCAAAAATATAGTACAATGAAAAATGAAAACCCAATTATATGACAGTGATTAAGATAACTTGACCATGACAAAAAAAAACAACTTAACAACAAAAAAAAGCTCCATAAAAACTAATTGAATTCTTAAGCTTATCTGGACCATATAGAAGCATATTGTATTATTTTATTTTTAGAATACAATGTCTTTTCAAAAATAGATTACAAGCTCCATTTCTGCATCTATTCCTTGAAAACAAAAGATTAAGTTTCTTTCAATTACATAAAATTATCATCTTTGCTGTGCCCCAGGCTTAATTAAAAAGAAGACTTTTCATGTAATGACAAACTGCACATCTCAGACAAATACCTCAGTATTGTATTAGCTCAAGAGAATCAATCTATTCTACTTAAGAAAATTTCCTGAGCGGTCAAATCATCCTGTACAAACCGGCAAGATACTTATGTCATATAACCACTGCCAAATTCCAAAGAATATTAACTTTAACACACTTCAATGCTCTTCACAGAGTAGTTTTGGACAGCCCATATAAAAAAGTCCTTTATCAGCTAAAACCATGCTCCTGTGGACAAGGGGTATTGAAACTACAGGTCATGTTCTACTGACCTGTAGTTTCTGTTCCTATTTTCCATAAGGATCCTAGGACCTTCTATATCTCCTTACCTGGTAAAATAACTGGGAAATTCTAATCTTTTTAATGTACAGTTTTCATTATCGATATGATTCAGTCTCCTTGAGCATAGAGAAATTTTTTTACGCTCCTTGTAAAATCAGACTTTGCCCAACTTGTAATGTATTTTTATCCTGCTTTTATTTTCATTTTAATGTAATTAAAATGTAATTTTATATGTAATTAGAGTCTTTGATCTTAATACACCTAAATCCTTCCCCTCTTCCACCTCCTCCATAATATTTCTTCAAAAAATGTATTGATATATTAGTGATTTGAAACCAAAACTGACTATAGTTGGCAAGATGAGATTATCTAAATTAAAAGACGTATTTATTTTTATGCCATTAAAAAAACAATGCCCATCCTTTTTAAAACATTCCTGGAGGATCCAATTAACAAGTAGTATTTTCTGACAAATGAATTTTATTTTTAAAACAGAAGTATATTTCACGTTTGTTAAAATTTGTACCCACTGAGTCTCTAAAACTGGATATTCTAATTCTTTATTCCAGAATTGAAATATATAGCTTATAGTAGATTTCCTTTTTCTTTTTAATTCCTTATAACATTAAATTGTCACTTTTCAGTATATATAATTCTACTGCCCTCCGTGTTTTAGAAAAAACAGTTTTTAAAGCACTCCTATCTAACTGAAAAACTTGAATTAAGTTAAAATCTTCCAGACAGATTATATGTTGATAGTTTGCAGAATATAGCTTAGAGAAACAGCTATGAAATGTTTCAGAAATATTCTTAATGGAGCAATAAAAGTTAATTAGCACTATAATTAGAATTATTATCAAAAAAATAATATATTCTTTCCCATTGCAGTATTCATATTACTCTGATACACGGACTGTAATAGACTGTAGGAATAATCTTGAGGAGGAGAAAGAACAGCAACCAAGACAATAGTCAGATAAAAGAAATCTGAGTCTGTGGTAGGAATGTAATTTGAAAAAATGTCTCAGGTTTAACCATCCCAAGTTAATTCTAAAGGGAAGGAGGGGAGACGAACATCCAAACTTGCAAGATTTTGTTACTGTAACTTTATAATAAAAGTAGTATTAGTACTTACAACCACAATTGGGATCAGAATTCCAGTTGTAAATCATTGTGGTCCCAAGTCAAGGCACCTGACCTGATTTTTCAACCATTTTTATGGCAGTTGCTAATAAATCTTGTCAGTCCAAATCCATTCTCCTGAATGGGCATTTTTTGCCATTAAACCAGGAGTTCCCAAACCCTGGCCATGGACCAATAGATTAGATAACCTTTATTATCATTTTTTCCTGTGGGCACAATGGCACACATTAAAAATGAAATTTAATTGCTTCCTCTCAAAGTGTACACATACATAATACACATTTAAAACATAATATATATAACATATGTATAGACCTACACCCTTACATATAAGTAACATATAAATATTAATCACTGTCCATCTTGAATACATAATGGAAGGAGGAAGCTTTAGAGTTCACAAGGTTAATACTGTATGGAACAAAAGTATGACTGAATCTAACTATCTGAAGAATCAGATTTTCATGCAGATAAAATATTTCAAGGTTAGTTCTCTCTCAGCAATACAGCCATTTTGTATTGTAGTAAGCATATTAAATTGTTGATTAAAAATAGCATAACATGTAAGATGGAAAAAGTACCTATCCCAACTTTTTGGCTTAGGCTACTGTATATCCACCTCTCACTTCTCAAACCCTGGGAAGAAAGCACGAAAGTAGCTTGCAAACTTATAGTTATTACTCATTAGAAAAGCACAAAGTATGTAAACATTCCATAGTATCAAAGGGATTTGTAAATCTACTGATTTTATCTTCAAGAGTGAAACAGAACATATATTTAAGTGTCTAATTTCTTTCACGTATCAGTACCAAAATCCAAATCTTTCTATGAATATAAAGAAAGATACAAATAGATCACAATTTTATGTTCATAGAGGTTTAATGAGATAGCTTGTCTTGAAGGTTGTAAAGGATGATCTCCAATACTAGACATCTGAAATTTAACAATTACAGGTACAAATATCTGTGGGAGATTGTCTCTTGCTTTTAATCTGTAAGTGTCCATTCAAAATCAGCTGACAATGAGATTTCTTTCATGTACAGTTCAGCAGACCAGGTATATTAATTATTTTTGAATTATTTTTGAGTTCCCCCATACTATAAGTAATTCAGTTTGTAAATGTATAATGAATTTTATCAAAACACTGATCTTTTTCTTTTAAGGGCTTAATTACAATTTAATGTAAAATTACAATATATGCACCAAGCTTTGAAATCTTTCTCAAATGTCAGGACCTGTACATCTGTGCTTTTAAAAGATCTCCCTGTAGTCCATATATGACAGTTTTCATAGTTGTAATTTATTATCCATCCACTTAGAAATGGACTGAAGTTTGACCATTAACGCAATATGCAATACTAGTCATTTGGTCTTGCTGAGGCAGCAATACCTCAGTACTCTGTTTAATCCATTGCCCCATACTCTTTATGCAGAATTTCAATAGAGTAAGTTCATCCAGCCTTTTTTCTTTGGCTCAAGATGTCTGAAGAAGAGCCATCTTCTTCATTCTATGAGGCATATTGCAAAAGTAGCATTATCTCCAAGTTATTTAGAACAAGCTGAGAAAGTTTGGGCATAAATCACTCACCATTCAATTAACTGTATAAGCAATTACATCTGCAGTGTTAGAGTAGGACAAAGAGAGACAACTTCCTGAAATCATTATGAAATCAATTAGTAACCGGATCTAATATTGTTTACCTAACATATTTTACAATAGACCTATTCTTTTTCTTTGAATGATAAAAACATGAGTAGTTTTTAATTGAAGCAATCAGGTGTCAATTTCTTTTTTCTTAATGTCAGCATATACTGTGCCCATAATTCTTTCTTATGAAGGTAGAAAGTTGCTGATTTCCCCGAAAGCTGAACTACTGGAGACTTGGAAACATCTACATGTTTTGTGCTTGCCAATTACATACACAAGGTATTTATTGCAGTCATACATCCGTAACACCAAGACATTGCAAAGTGCAAAAATTCTGCTTAGGAAATGAAAAAAATGAAAGCATACTTTTTGATAGGCCAGTGTGACAAAACACAGTTCCAGAAGTGATCCAAGACTAGATAGATTTTTGTCTATAATTCAGTCAAGTAATTCAAGAATTTGAAAGCAGCATAGAAATAGGGTCACAGCACCACAAAGTTCTAGTCAAGCTGTAGTTTCTTTTATATAATCTAAAACTATGATTTATAAATAGTGAAAACATTGCAAAAAATCCTTTTTTTTATTGTTGTTATTAATATTCACAAGTAATCAGAAAGCCATTCAGTTTCATTGAATAACTAGAGTTCTACTGTTTTTTTAAAAAAGAAAATAATTGATATTTATTTGGTCTTTCTCCATTCTTCATAATAATTTAAAAAAACTTTAATTCAATCTCCCAATGACCTTTTCACATCTCTTTAACTGTTCCCTTTCTACTTTCAAAATCTGCCTTCAGAAAATAATTCCTTTAATTTTTGTAATTTTGTTTTCATTACTGCTTCTAACATTTCCAAATGTTGTGAATATAATTTTGGCAATTATTTTGTAAACATTTCCAGACTTTTTTTAATGGCATAGTAATTTGCTTCTTGTCCCTTCATGGAAGTGAAGGATAATTGGGTTGGGTTTTTTTTTTGACACCTTTCTCTAGCAGCATTAGTCTTGATTAAAATCAAGCTGGCCCCTCAATATGCTGAATTCAGAAAATAAAAAACAAAATTTTGGTGAATTCAGTCAGCTCTTTTATTTTTGTATTGTGTTGAATTTGGGGTTTGGTTGGGAAATTCTTATTTGTTGATTGGCATTTGATTTATATTTATCAAGGACATTTTATGTGATGTACATTTGTTTGTCGGCCACCAGGTGTGCTAGCAAATTACAACAGCTACACGATGAATATATGCATACATAAAATCTTTTATTTTCAGCCTCTTAGAATTTGCCACTAAAATCACAGCATCTACTCCTAATACATACAAGCAGAGATGTGTGCAGAATGCAGTCAAAAAAGTCAAGATGATGCATGCAATTTACAAAAGTAAGTAAGGCATTTGACAAAGTAGATCACAATCTACTACTTAATAAGATAGAAAAATGCGGGTTAGACAGTATCACCACCAGATGGATCCGTAGCTGGCTGACCGGCTGTACTCAGCGTGTGGTCCTCAATGGAACTGCATCTAAATGGAGGGGAGTGTGTAGTGGGGTGCCCCAAGGCTGTTCTGGGCCCAGTGCTCTTCAACATCTTCAACAACGATCTGGATGAGGGGATAGATGGGGAACTTATCAAATTTGCAGACGACACTAAGCTGGCAGGAAAAGCCAACACTCCAGAACACAGGCTTAGGATACAGGAGGATCTGGACAGACTTGAACACTGGGTGCTATCTAACAAAATGAAATTCAGAGGTGAAAAAAGTAAAGTTCTACATTTAGACAAGAAAAACCGAATGTACAAGTATAGTATAGGGGGTACCTTGCTCAATAGTAGTAACTGTGAGAGGGATCTTGGAGTCCTAATGGACAATCATTTGAATATGAGCCAGCAATGTGCTGCAGTTGCCAAAAAAGCCAACACAATGCTAGGCTGTATTAACAGAGGGATAGAATCAAGATCATGTGAAGTATTAATACCACTTTACAATGCCTTGGTAAGGCCACACTTGGAATACTGCATCTAGTTTTGGTCACCACCAGTGCTTTTTTTCTAAAAAAAAGGTGCCGGAACTCATACACGGCATGCAACCCACCTTGCCTACCCTACAAGGTTCCATCCAAAAAGGTGCCGGAACTCTGTTCTGGGCATTCTATGAGGAAAAAAAGCCCTGGTCACCACGATGTAAAAAAGATGTTGAGACTCTAGAAAGAGTACAGAGAAGAGCAACAAAGATGATTAGGGGACTGAAGGCTAAAACATATAAGGAACGGTTGCTGGAATTGGGTATGTCTAGTTTAACGAAGAGAAGGACAAGGGGGAACATGATAGCAGTGTTCCAATATCTCAGGGGCTCCCTCAAAGAAGAGGGAGTCAAGCTATTTTCCAAAGCATCTGAAGGCAGGACAAGAAGCAACGGGTGGAAACTAACCAAAGAGAGAAGCAACCTAGAACTAAGGAGAAACTTCCTGACAATTAGAACAATTAAACAGTGGAACAACCTGTTTCCAGAAGCGGTGAATGCTCCAACACTGGAAATTTTTAAGAAGAGACTGGACAGCCATTTGTTCGAAATGGTATAGGGGTTCCTGCCTGAGCAGGGGGTTGGACTAGATGACCTCCAAGATCCCTTCCAACTTTATCATTATTATTTTTAAAATATCTGCCTGAAATTTGCATATTCTGTGCTTAAAATCAGTTGTGATTACTTCAAATATGCTGTTTCAGTTTGAGATTTCCTGTTCTGAAAGTCATTGTACCTAGTTCATGTTAGCCATTACTTAAAGGTATGGATGAGATGCAAGCACACAGGGTATCTTGGATTATGCTTAGCTGTTTGGGATTATTGGGATTCATCTATGCCATTTCCTTGGCAATATTATTTATTGTTAGATTTTTTCCTATCCTTCCTTTGTTACATTATAAGAAACTCAAGGCAGCAAACACACTTAATGCTCCTTCCTCTCCTATTTTTCCCACAACAATAACACTGTGAGGTGGGTTGGGCTGAGAGAATGATTAATCAAAATTGGATCATAAATCATAAGTCATCCAGCCAACTTTCATGTCTAAGGTGGGACTAGACCTCACAGTCTCCTGGTTTCTAGGCTGCACCTTAACCACTTTTACTTAACATCACTTAATGAAGTGATTTGCCATTGTCTTCTTCTGAATTGTTTTTTTCCCTTTTTAGCCTAGCCAGCATTCCTGGAATTCTCAAGTGACTACCCCATCCAAATATTAACTAGGTTTGACATCGCTTAACTTTTTCAAGATGACGTTCCTATCCATTGAAGGCAATTCATTGTTATTAACTAGAAGCAGAAGTCAAAATGTTCAAACCTATCCTTGTGCAACACACAAGAAGTCAGAGGGAAACACAAAATTTGAGAGCAATTCACTAATTTTGTAAAATGACTCTATTGGTCCTATATATTCCTCTATAAAAGAAATGTTTGATCAAAAAATGCATATATTTTAATCAAAGCCTTGAATTATATTTTACATATATCATGTGGCTAAACATGAATAAATACAGATAATTCTGAAAGTTCTGGAGTGATAATAGCTGTTCCCTTTTATCTGTATGAAACAAAAGGAGAAAAATGTCTTATCTCATTAAATGTAACTAATGATTTGTGAGATAATTACAGATAACAGTAACAGTAGCTTTCTTCTTTAATTGCACTGTGAAACATCTGACTTATTAGCATATTTTTCTGTTACTATGGAACTCTGTCACATTTCTGACATACTTGAGTTAAGATAGCCTTTTTTTTGGTTTGGTTCCATATTCCTACAGGATAATTTTTTAAAAAGATAAAAACCATCTGCTTTATTAGCAAAATGATTTTTAGTTGATTTTTAAAAAGTCTAGTTTCTATTATTGGACCAATTAATCTATTACAACTAAATCTCTTCTGTGAAAAGGACATAATGTTTTTCCTCAAGTAAACAAACTTTATTATGGGCAAAGACCAGCATTAAGTAATGCAACATAAAATGGGTATAGAAATATAAGACTACAATATAAAAAGCAAAGGATGGTAAAACATGGGAAAAATAAGCACACAAGACTCATCATAGGGAATTTAGGCCCTATTAAAAAAGATTAAAATGTAGTTAAAATGTATATCTTTACAAAAACAATTATATACAATGAAGGAAAAAATTATTTGATCCCCTGCTGATTTGGTACATTTGCCCAGTGACAAAGAAATGATCAGTCTATAATTTTAATGGTAGGTTTATTTTAACAGTAAGAGACAGAATAACAACAAAAAATCCAGAAAAACAAGTCATAAAACTTATAAATTGATTTGCATTTTGATGAGTGAAATAAATATTTGACCCCGTCACCAACCATGACTTAGTACTTGGTGGCAAAACCCTTGTTGACAATCATAGAGGTCAGGTGTTTCTTGTACAACCATATTTGCACACATCTCAGGAGGGATTTTGTCCCAGTCCTCTTTGCTGATTCTCTCCAAGACATTAAGGTTTTGAGGTTGATGTTTGGCAGCTCGAACCTTCAGCTTCCTCTACAGATTTTCTATAGGATTAAGGTCTGGAGACTGGCTAGGCCACTCCAGGACCTTAATATGCTTCTTCTTGAGCTACTCCTCTGTTGCCTTGGCCATGTGTTTTGGGTCATTGCCATGCTGGAATACCCATCCATGACCCATTTTCAATGACCTGGCTGAGGGAAGGAGGTTCTCACCCAAGATTTGATGGTACAGGGCCCCTGTCCATCATCCCTTTGATGTGATGAAGTTGTCTTGTCCCCTTAGCAGAAAACACCCCCAAAGCATAACGTTTCCACCTCCATGTTTGACAGTGGGGATGGTGTTCTTGGGGTCATAGGCAGCATTGCCCCTCCTCCAAACACAGTGAGTTGAATTGATGCCAAAGAGCTCGATTTTGGTCTCATCTGACCACAATACTTTCTCCTCTGAATCATTCAGATGTTCATTGGCAAACTTCAGATGTGCCTGTACATGTGCTTTCTTGAGCAGGGGGACCTTGCTGGTGCTTCAGGATTTCAGTCCTTCACGACATAGTGTGTTACCAATAGTTTTCTTGGTGTCTTGAGATCATGACAAGATCCTCCCGTGTAGTTCTGAACTAATTTCTCACCGTTCTCATGATCATTGCAACTCCACAAGTTGACATCTTGTATGGAGCCCCAGAATGAGGGAGATTGACAGTTATTTTGTGTTTCTTCCATTTGCGAATAATCGCATCAACTGTTGTTACCTTCTCACCAAGCTGCTTGGCGATAGTCTTATAGCCATTCCAGCCTTGTGTAGGTCTACAATCTAGTCCCTGACATCCTTGGACAGCTGTTTGGTCTTGGCCATGGTGGAGAGTTTGGAATCTGATTGATTGCTTCTGTGGACAGGTGTATTTTATACAGGTAACAAGCTGAAATTAGGAGCACTCCCTTTAATCATGATTTCAGCTTGTTATCTGTATAAAAGACACCTGGGAGCCAGAAATCTGGCTGATTGACAGGGGATCAATACTTATCTCATTCATAAAAATACAAACCAATTTATCACTTTTTGAATAAAAATGAAAAAGATAGATTATACATTTTCTTTGTTACATCCTATTTATTAATATTTATTTTCCATCATATGAGATGAGATTTTAGATTTTGGGTTGACAAGCAACTTATGAATAAATCTGAGCCATCTTTCTCTGTTTATGGGCTGTTAGTTCTTCTCGCTATCTTATCTTCATGTCAAGTTATTCCAAAACTAGACGTTTTTAATGCACATACTAGTACTATACAATTTCTGGTTAGCTTCAAACAGCAGGTAATGCCAAAGGTGCTTTTTTTTACAAGGCAACTAGACTTTCTTGTTTTTCTTTGAAGACATTTCACTTCTCATCCAAGAAGCTTATTCAGCTCTGACTGGATGGTGGGGAATGGAAGGATTTATACTCCTTGCAGATAGCTAGTCATTTGCATTCTTTTAAACAGTTGTTGAGGCACCTGCAGGTTTATCTGTGTCTTCAGGGTCATCTGAGTAGTGCAAATGGATGTGGAGCCTTCTTGGAACTGCTGAAAGGACTCTGTTGTAGACTAGAGATAGATGATGTCGTATCCCTTCCCCTCTGTCAAGAGAGGGCTGTTCAATTTTGACATAGATGGCCTCCTTAACCCCTCTTTCAAACCAATGGTCCTCTCTGTCCAAAATGTGGATTTTGCTGTCTTCAAAAGTGTCCTTTGTCTTTTAAATGCAGATGGACTGCTGACTTTTCTATGATCTGGATGAGCAAGAATCTCCATACATATTCAAAAAGCAGGATTTTTGTCATAGTTGGCATTCTAATAATTTAACTCAAATTTGGAAGCAGCAACCAGTTAACTCATTAATTTTCTACCACAATGTTATGTAGAATTCACTTCCTTTTTCCACAGTTTCTTACTTGTCTAAGCAGAATTCCTAATCTCTCCAGTCATTACGTTTAACAAAGTTTTCCAGATCCTTTCAAGATTCTAAGAACCAAGCAGAGAAGAATGCTCGGTTATGACCACATTCATTTTCTTCTTACTGCACCACATCACAATAATTTTAAAGCATCTTTTAATATTTTGATTATATTTTTACTGATTAGTTTTATTACTTTGAATTACAGGAAGTCAAAAGTTGTGGCAATCGTTAAGCAGATGACAACGTGACCACACCCAATCTTTTGGCAGTGTATGTTATGTAAATGGGGCAGTCATTAAGCTAATGCGGTGATCATTAAAAAACCCATTTTCCCCAACAGGCATTTTTTGCTGAAAACCAGAAACAAACACTGGAAACCAGCAAAAAAATGCCCAAAATTTCTGGGATTCTGTGGTGCAGCTATTGGAACTTCAAAACTGAGTGATAAGTAGTTCTGGGGAAATCTGTCATAACTTTGAATGGTGGCTAAGCAACCTGTTGTTAAGCAAGAACTACCTGTAAAAGTACCAGTCTGACCACTTATTGTAAATAATGCCCCATCCTCTAAGTTGACCTTATTATCTCTCCTCAGCAAAGACCCTGATTAGACAACAATTTTTTTTTAAATGACATAGGATGGGAAAACAAAGTTTGGACAGCTGCCTTTTTATTCTCATAAGAAAGATGTGGGTTCCATCATCTAATTCAGTGGCCCCCAACCTTTTGGGTACCAGAGACTAATTCCACGGAGAGAAGTTTTTCCATGGATCGGAGAAGGCATGGTTTTCTGTGCTGCTTGCATCCTGTGGATGGGGCTTCAGTTGTTTATGCTTCCCAGTTTCTGGCATGTTATGGACCGGTGCCACTCCATGGACCAGGGGATTGGGGACTCCTGATTTACCTGGCTTCAACACTGATGCAGAAGTTGGACAGAGAGTTCCATTCCTACCTATTGTTCCTAGCATACCATTCCTATAATACCTATTGGTAATAGGATCATTGCTATATACAATGCTGGATTTTGTATTAATCAATGAGCTTTATATGTTATCAATGTACTTCCTCATATCCAATCCATCCTAAGCTGAAACCTAAGAAATCAATGTAGTTAACATGTCTGTTTTATTTCTATTTTTTTCTATAATTTGTATAGTTTTACAAATAAAGTAAAAGCTAAGCCAAGGTTGGCAGACATCTTATACACATTCTGTGATATTTTATATTCCTATTTGTACAGCCAAATAGAATGGCTTATTCTAAGGCGTTCTGCAGTTAGAAAAAGGAGCTTTATTATCTATATTTTTCCCCTCACTGTCCTTCTTTCTGATCATTCTGTTCCTATTATATTCATATTCCCTGATGCATAGCACAATTTCTGCAGACAATTCACGAAAAATGAAATGAACTATCAAATGTGCATGGCGCTATGGTTTAAATTATTCATCAATAAATGTGTTGTATTTTGTTTTGCAGACTTATTTTATAGTCTGAATCTGGACCTCTTGTACACAAACTATTACTTATTCCATTATGCAAGCTTTTATTCTGGCGATATTCCCTGAAAGAGATTGAGTGCTGTGCTCTCTAAATACAATACTTTAGAAACAGCTAAAAGCATATTATCCTAGCAAAACTTACAAAACAGAAAATACATTATTTCAGGAACATGAAAAATTAAGTTACATCCCAGGTGTACAAGGTTATTCATGATGTATTTCTGATAGACATGAGGCTAAATGAACAGCTTCATCTACTAACATGGCAATGGGCTATTTAACTGGCTTAAATAAACAAATAATTGTTCTGTGTCCTGTTGAAAAAAAACCAGGCTACAGGGAAAGGGTTGGCAGCAGTGGTGGGATGCAGTTAGTTCGCACCAGTTTGGCAGAACCGATAGCTAAATTTTTGTTTCCCCGGGCCCAGAATGAACTTCTGGAAGCGGCATCCACACAGAGAACCAGTTGTTCACATATTTGAATCCCACCACTAGTTGGCAACATGCACTATTATTCAATTGGTATATTATATATCAGATTGTATGGATCTGTGGATACATAGGAAAAAATATAAACAGTGAAATTCAAAAGTCATGAAATGCAAACAGCAGCAATAAATTTATGATATTTCTGTGGATTCTGCAAGTATAAAGGGCCTAAATCAATAATTAAAATCCCCAATTCTACAAATTCCATTGTAATATCCTTAAAATCTATATTTTGCAAATGCATATATCAGAAATTGTTTGAACAGAATACCACACATTTTCAGCTGAGTAGTATGTGAATTTTTTTTAAAGACATGTACATTGTATCTGGCAAGCAGTTGATATTAATTACAAGAAATCTAAGATTTTTCTGAAATCTATATCTAAGTATCTCTTTTTCTTTGTACATAGTAATTTGTTACAATGATTCTAATCTCCATGACAAATATTTTTGATTGTTCAGTAGTCTTTATCTTCAAAGAGGTTTGGCAAATTAAGTACATGCCCTTCATATTATTCTGTTACAGGATAAGCAGGGTCAAGGAAAGTGCAGGAAAAGGAGTATGGACTAAATTAATACACAAAAGAAAACATATAAAGTAAGATAAAAGAAAATGTAATTAAATCTGGTTTACACCAACTCAACTTATTGTATCTTTCTGTACTTTTTTCTCCTTTTAAAGACTCTTGATTCTACCACATCCGTGCACTAATTCATACATTGTCTCTTTGTTCTTTAAATGTCTTACACGACTCTTTTTCCGAATCTACCCAAATCCACCCAACAATGATTTCCTCATTTTTACTTTCTTCTCAAACCATTTCTTCTTACTTTATATGTTCCTTTGGCAATTTAGTTTTCATTTATGTATTCTCTATACAGTATATGACAAAGCGATCTCAACTTTCTTTTTTCAGACATTCATTTATCAACCATTCCTTCTTTTCTTGCTTTACTCCACATACTAAAGTAACTCATTCTCACTGAATTTAACTTTAAATTTCTCCTGGAAGTGGATATATTTTTGCCTGCCACCTGTCAACTAAGAGGCATAGGCGTACTTGGGATATTTACTAGTTCAAGAGTTTATATAATACCTTGATTTCACTGAAACTTATTTCTGCATTATATTTTTATGAACTTTGGATAAGATAGGAAGCTTCCATAAACCTCTTACCATTTATGACTACAGAAGTTTATTTTGTTTTATTTATCTGAAACATGTATATGGCTATCTATATTATACAAAACAATCCTAGGCAGCTAGCAAACCCACAAATAATAAAAACACAAGATTAAAACTCTAACATCCCAGCACATTACTATAACAGCATCCTCTCAAAAAACACTAAAAAATGCTGGGCCTACCTCCCATCTTGGCCCAATACTTGAAGGAAGAGTTAGTTTCAACAATCTTCTGGAAGACAGGGAACATAGGGTTCATCTGTAACTCAGGGTAAAGATTGTTCCCTTGGTAGGCATGGTTGTGGAAAGATTCACTTCCTAGGTAATGATAGATGACAACATGTAGTAGAGAAGACCTGGCATAAACTATTCCATCTGACTTGGTGGGGTGGACAGATAACCTTGCGGACAGATGGTTACTCAAATAATGTGGCCTTATGCCATACAGTTAGAAATACTGGGATTCTACCTATATAATTATGTAGCACAACTAAATTAAATATTACTGAACATTGAATTAAATAATATTGTTTTGTAATTGTATTAAAAGATAAACTTTCTCTAAATTTATTTAGGCATTTTGACCATTTGTTTCTGGCTGATTTGCTGCCATATGTCCAACACCGTCACAAAGATATCAGCCCAGTATGAACCCTGTTAAATCAGGACATTAACACCCATTCGGTGGAAATTCTATAGCTACATTAAGGAGGGAAAAAACTTCTGCAACTCATCAATCTCCCAGGATCAGAAACATTTCCCACTGTTTAAAAGGATAAACACTGCAAATAAAAAACTAAATATCATAAAAAGCAAGTTAAGGCAAAATTTATTTTCCTTTGTGTCTAGAGATTACAAATCTTGTCACTTAATTTTGTTGCTTATGTATTGTAGCTGAAGATAAAGCTATCATTTTCTTACTTTGCCTTGTCTGAGCTGTTGCAACAAGCAGTATAGATTGAATTATCTAAAACCAAGATGTCAGTCTTAATAATGCTGAGGAAACTTCTAGAAATTTAAATATATCACTGAAGGGGGAAAAATAGATAAAAAACGTATGTAACAGAAAACAATAGATTTCTAAAATTCCTCATACAGTAAAGGTTCTTGCAATTTCAAATCTGTTACAATCCTCATCTTATTCTTTGGGGATAGAATCTAAATTGAAAAATATATTATAAATGCAGAAGATGTCAATATGCATATATTGGTATTAAAATATAGATCAACTCATAGAAAACAACTTGCAGTAGTAGGAAAGCCTAGCTAATGTGAAACAACTGGATTGAGCTCTCTGTAAAAACATGGATTGATTGATCAATTGATTGATTATATGCCATCAAGTCAATCTCAACATTAAGCGACTACAAAGATAGACTGATAGATGATAACTGACCCTAACCAAGTCCTTCAGGTCTTTCAATCTTTCTTCCACCTTTTCTAGCTTTAGCGCCTTCTCCAGAAAACTAGCTCTTCATATAATGTGCCCAAAGTAGGATAATTTGAGCCTGGTCGTTTGTTTCTTGACAGATAACTCTGAGCTGATTTGTTCAATAATTCTTTGTTTTTTTGGCAGCTCACGACATTTTCAGGAACTTTCTCCAATATCAAAGTTCCAAAGCGAAAATACACTCCTTACCATCCTCCTTCAAAGTAACTTTTACTCCTATAGATAATCACAAAGTACAATTTGTTGCACTATTCTGATCTTTGTAGATATAGAAACATTACAGTTTTTGATCTTTTCCAAGCTCTTCATGGCTGTTCTTATGAAGTCTGTGGCATATTTATTGACCACTTATTTACTGTTGATGGTTGCTCCTCAAAGGCAGAAGCTTTCCATCACTTCGATATCATCACTGCCAATTCTAAGGCTGGCTGTTCTGTCTGTTGTCATTAGCACCATCTTTTTTATCTCTTTCTTCTATTCTGTCTGAAACTCTTACTGAATTCCTTCCTGTCTTTTTTTGCCGTTGGCTTCCCTTACCTTCTTGGCAATTTCCACAGTTTGCTCCAATAACCGGTTTCCTTTTACCATTTCTTCATCTTTGGTAGTCTTCTTTCACATTCATCCTTAACGACTTCCTTAAGTTCATTACATAGTTGCTCTGGTTCTCTTATCAATAAGGTTCAGAGCTTCAAAGCAATTCCTGAAGTTCTCTTTGAAAATATGTATATCTTGAAGATTATATCATGGAAACTGATTGCCTTTTTCTTCTTTAGCTTAATGTAGAACTTGCTTAAATGTAGAAACTGTTAAGTAATTCTCTTGCTTCATTTTGGTATCCTAAGCCATGCAATCCAACTAGGTTTTCCTTTTTAATATTTCCAATGTTGGCATTCCATCCTCTAATCACAAGCAACATATCGTATTTGCATGTTTTGTCAATTTCAAATTGAACTTGATGATAAAACTCATCAATCTTTTCTTCTGCAACAATGGTTGGACAAAAAACTTGAACGATCATTATATTAAAGGATATCCACAAAGTCTAATTGATGTAATTCGATCATTGACTGCATTGTAGTCAGATACTGTTCTTGCTATACCCCTCCTAACTATAAAAGCAGGATGGTTCCTTCTTCTTTTGTTTTCAGGTCCTGAATAGTAAACAGGGTAAATTCTGACCTAACTTGTATAGTATCAGTCCATTTCAATTCATTGGTGCCTAAAATGTCAAATTATAGATTAATTAATTCACTTTTCACTGTGTTGAGCTTTCCCATACTCGTGCCTCCTATGTTCCATGTTCCCACTGTAATCCTGTCTTTGCATCTTCAGGTTTTCTTCTCGTGTATGGCAAAATCAGCCACTAGATGTCCTGAAGGCTTTAATATAACTATGTCATAAACACTATTAGTACTCTGAAAGATTTTAGCTCTTCCTCAGAACTACTGTATATTGAGTGCCATCTAACCTGTCTATTTCGATCTTCAAAATGGAATGAAATCAGCCTGCTTGCTCTATTTAGTGTTAAGAGATTCACCCTAGAAGAAACTATTATTGCAGTGAAAGAAATAACATACTGTTTATATTTTAAACCCATAGGTTTGTAGGAGGTAAATTTAAAATCCTAATAAGATGTAATAATATGTCCTTTCCCCTTAAATTCTAACAGCAACCTGAGAAATGAGAGCACTCTCTATTGTAGTACACCAAGCTAAGCATGTATGTAATATTTTAGCAGTCTTACAGAAATGTAGATTTAACTGTTTTAAATAGAGCAATCAGGAGGAGCTATCTTGGAGAATATACAAACTGTTTGAAAGCTACTCTGAATATCATGTATCTAGAACAAACCTTGCTATAGTTCTCTGGCAGCTTTAAGATTGATTGCAGTTTTGATAGTGGTAATCTCTCAGTAGTTTTAAATCTTTTTTTTTTTTTTTGTCTTGGGAGCTCCTTGTGAAAAATCTATTCCAGTTCACTCTAAGAACAGATATTAGGTCCTCCTATGTAAAATGGTGAAGAAGAAAAATATCATTTTTTTTCTTATAGAGACTGGGAATTCCAATTGCATTTTATAGTTTAGAACATCCATTATTGCAAACCAGCCAAATAAGTGTACTGCAAGTTGCACTACTAGTTGCCCTTTTATAATTCAAAACTCTGATTTCACCATGAATGCATTAAATCTTCCCCCATCAGAATGCCATACAAAATAAAAAGCAGTATAAACAACTGATAGCAACAACATAGAAAATGGATTTAATAAAGCAAGGAAGCAATTAGTTTCAGCTGCCAAATCCAACAATTCCACCTTCTTTTTTCTCATTTTGGCACTGAATCACCTTATTAGAAAGCCATGTGCCAGCAGTAATGTGGGAGAGGAACATATAATTTCTATGTTCGTAGGAAAAACTTTGCTTCTCCAATAAAGTGTCTGTGGCTCCAACCGATTTCACAGGAGGTTTAACTGGTCAGCCTGTTGAAACTTATTAAGATATCCAGAACAAAATTGACCCTCTTGTGGATTAAAAAAAAATATATTGTGAGGTGGGCTACAACTCTGGTTTTATGAAGACAAGTTCAGCCTGAATTTCAAAATACTAGGCGCTAATAATAATTTCTATTTTTAATAAGGGTAACTCAGAACATCTTATGATGTACAATCAATTAGGCTACTAAACACAATCAATAGTATCTATGATAGACATCTCTGTTTAACAGTGTGAGACTGGTGGACTTAGTAAACATACTGGCAGAGGAACAAGTCAACTTTATAGCCTGTTTCATTATAATTAACCAATTCCCAGTATATTTAACTAATGTAATGAAGAAATAGATGAAAAAGCTAAACTAAGATATAAAATATGGAATAAGCGTAACAACTGATTGCCACTTATTCACTCTTATTTACACACAGGTTGTTTGTCATTAAACATGCCCTACATAAAATGGGATAAACAAGGATGTATCCTCAGTCTCCCTCTGTATAACTTTTATATTAACTTGATAGTTGAATGTTTAACCAAAAATGAAACTTCACCTAAAATTGTGCATTGGGCACACAATTTTTACAGGTGCTGATATTGATGATGCAATAACTCTTCCTTAGCTAATGGCAGGAGTAAGAAGGCATAAAGTACAGGTTGTCCTCGACTTATGACCACAATTGAGCCCCAAATTTCTGTTGATAAGACAGGTTTTTTTTTATAATCTTTTTTGCCACAGTTGCTAGTGTCTCACTGCAGCTGTTAAGTTAGTAACACAGTTGTTAAGTGAATCTGGCTTCCCCATTGACTTTGCTGGTTAGAAGATTGCAAAAGGTGATCACATGACTCTGGGTCACTGCAACAGTCATAAATACATGCCAGTTGCCAAGCCTCTGAATTTTGATCAGATGACCATGGTTGAGGACTGCCTGTACTCTAATTTTTTATAGAGAGAATAATTCATGGAGCTTTTAATGTTCTCTAAAAGATTAAGAAAAATTAAGCTTTAAATATTCAGTAATTTTCTTCACTAGATATGTGTAAAGCTTTATCACCTATGATGATCTGATGTCTCAAATAGAATTGTAGTTTTATGTTATTAAAGCAGAAACTGGTACAGATTAACAGTCTGGCAGTTTTGGTTGCAGATTATGCACCATTAATCACCACATATTAAAAGTTCATACCTACAGGGCCTTTTAATGACATTTTACTGTAAATTATGAGCGCCAGTTCTTTTTTCATATTTTAATTTGTTGCAAGGTTTTATCTATCTAAATATACTTATCAAGGCCACAAATGGAACTTAATTGGCGGCTGTGTCTGCATATAGTTAAGAAAATATTGGACCAGTTTTGTTCCTGCTTAGACTGTAATTGCTTGAAAATATAATATTTTACTATTTTCATACATAAAGTTCCTGCATTAGCATTATCGATTGGGTTATTTTATAGTGCTTTGCGAAAAGTATTTCTAAAGAACCTTTCTTTTTCCTGATTCAATTCTCCTATTTGCTCTAAATTTAACTCACTTTTTACAGAAATAACCTCAGTAGCTCTTTCCACCAAAGGGTGTCTGTAAAGGGGGGGGGAGGAAAACCCACCATGCAAGCTCCCTAGGCTTCTGTTTTGGTAATGCAGTTTTCCAAAAGGAAATAACTTGGTGCCCACTATGATGGTGATTTGTGCTTCTTGGATATTTTCCACTTAGGACACCAGACAAAAAAAGCAGCAATAAATCTATTATAAGTTACTCAAAAGCCAGACTGGTCCAGCCAACAAACAGAAGGCAAGAAAGAGGCTTTGGTTTCTAGATCCTTAAGATGTTGTGCCAACTGCTGTGCCCTTCCACAGAAAGGATAGGATTTTCACTGCCTTTTCTCAGATGGCGCAAGGTTGCTGTGCAGAAAGAGGAAAGTGAGCTAGCAGATGCTTGTTTACTAACAACCAGTACAGCTATAGAGGTAATATCACCATCTGCATTGCTTAGTGAGGCCGCTGAGAGTTTGCTTATGATTGACCGCTTCACTTTATTCTGCTCCTGCCACAAAATGTTAGTTCAGAGTGATCGTCACAATAGCATTACAATATCAACTATGCAGTATAACCAGCCCTAAATTCACCTGTGACCTGAAATTATATTACTTCTCAGCTCATCAGACTGATCTAGCCATTATTCCAAAATTCCAGTTTTCAGACAGCCTTCCTGACCCGGAGATGTGCAGCTGTGTGAAATTTTAACTCTTCAGCAAGACGGAGATCAGGTGGAAAAAGAGCAAAGTCCTTATTTGTGTTTGTCTCCTTTTGTTGCTTTTAAAAGTAGCCGTATTCCTTTTAAAAATGCTTACGAACCTGGAAAAGAAATTATAGTTTTCCTGAGGTTTAATGTTATTGGCTGCTAGTACACATGCTATGATATGCCATTTTAACTTCATGAGTCACATCCCCACTCCCAAAGCCTTATTGAGTATGTGTTGCAGGTGAATCATTACCATAATTATGGGACTCCAAAGAAAATAAATGACAATAAACTTTTTAAGTGTTTGAAGATTTACACTGCATTCTTTTTATAATGCCAGATGGGAGGAAATAGAGTTAATTCAATCATTTTGTTTTATATACATAAGAGTCAGAGCAAAACTCATCAAGGTTGGTTATAATGGGCTCTTGAAACCTCTTCTGTTTATGGCATGAGTGACTTATATATTCCAGTTGTAATTTGAGTCATTTTGAGAAAACTAAATTCAGATTTCATCTTCTGGAACAGAATACCTAAATTTACAGCTGACATTTTCTTTAAGTTCCCACTATGGACGGATGAGATAAGGCTGTAACTTAAATTGTGTATAATTTATATCTGAAAAGCAGTATAATATGTGTTATTTCATATACAGATTTGTCTTTCTTTATGGAAGAAATAAAACCAAGGATATAGCATTTTGTTCTTTTTCTGAACAATACAAATGTTAGCAGTGGGACCCAAACTGGATTCTGGTGGATCCTGAGCAAAAAATCAGGACAAGATGGGTTGTTTTACAATTCCAAGAATTCCCAATGAAAGATACTGGATTTAAAAAAAAAAAAAAAAAGTGTAGAACAAATGAAAGATTTCCCTTCAATCTATCTCACTCATATAACTTCATACTATATTACAAAGAATATACTGTAACATACAAAATATCCTCTCCCTTGAAAAAAAAAATTGAATGTCAAAACACCTTTTTTTTTCTTCCAGGTAGAAAACTCCAAAACTGAAGGCTGAAATAATAGAAAAGTTACTGAAATCAGATACTTACAGTTAATCCTGAGGATGCGTATCATTTTCCTGGAAAAGGTCCTGAATTTGGTATTCTATACTGTGGTAAACCAAAATATTCAAGGGTCATTACTAGTTACCATAACATCCCACCACTTACTCTGTCATGCAGACAACTTACTCAACAAAAGCCACACATAAGATGAAATGTTGATGTTTAAGTAGTTTGAAATGTATTTTTCCAACCAGCAGATCATCATGACTTCTTTTTCCACAAACTACCTTCAAGGCCAACACCTCAAAAATAAATTTTGTCTTAAAGAAATTTAGAATGGGTAAGGAAAGAACTGTCTATTTAGACTTAACAACCTCTGCTGAATACATTTTTTGAGGCATTTCCTTCAGCCTGCAACTTCCTGATTTAAAATTATATCCTGTAGTCTACTTTTTACAGAGTTTACTTTTTCTGGCTCTTCAAGCATCTTATGGGACAAGATAGAAGTCTCAAACCAAAACAAGACAAGAACTGCCAGATAGATTCTTTCTATCTCTTCCAGCAAAAATATAAGGCATTTTTCTCTTCTTAGCTGATTATTATAGGTATGTAAAAATTATAGAAGTAAAGATGATAGAGTACGAAAGACTTGCAAATAGAAGATTATATTATCTAGAATGAGATAGGATGGTACACAATAAAAGTTTCATCTAGAAGCATCCAATGTTGGCTGACTACTCAACCAATAATTAGTTACAGAATATAGTGCTAGAATTTGGCAACATAAATGACAAATAACTTCACGCTGACCAGCTGTGTGGTATAACATCTGTACATCAGAAGGACTTTCAAGTATTAAAGCTCTGACTTTCACATACTTGGAAATTCATTTTATAGTATATAGTAACATCAGTGATGCACAGTGCACATACACACACACAAAAGCTTGTTAAAAAAACAGAAGATGCTTGTTTTGTTATGGCCCTTAGCTATAATAAAAATTAAAATGAGACCCTTGAAAATTGAAAATGGGCTGGGGAGCAGGAGCAATAATTTATATATTATTCTAGAGTTACAAAGCCAACTGCCTAAATTTGAAAATCTCTTTGACTCTGAAGTCCGGGCCAAATGGCCCTTCTATTTGCAGATGAATACATCTGTATGCAATTGCGATTAATTCCTTTGGTACCTCAGTAAGGGATGAAACAATCAGAAGAATTAGGCAAATTTGTACAAAGCTGTATCTGCTTTACCACATGCTATGTAGTACATGTAAGCAAGCACTACATCAAATGTCTCAGTATCTCCAGAAAGTCCAATTCAGTATCACTATGAACTATCCCCATGAAGTTCTGCTACACAGATTTCTATTCTATATGAGCCTTGGCATTTCCCTCTACCACAGAGTAAATTCGAACTAGGAGTAAGTACTTCTGCTTTTGATATCAAACGGTGTATAACTCCTTTGCAGTGAATTTGTTGGATTTTTTTACGTAGAGAAGTACAGTATATGAGCACCTTGGTTATGTGTGTGGCAGGCCATCGGAATGTTTGGACTGACATCGTCTCCTCCATTGCATAGCACTGTATGTATAAACAGTGAAATGAATCAGCCTTTTATTGAGACAGAACATAGGTCCAGCCAATGTTTTCACACTGACTGGTAGTGGTTCTTCAAAGTTGGAAGCAGCCTCCATTGCTGGAGATCCTGTTTAACTGGAAATCTTCTAGAGGACGTCTGCAGTTCTACAGTCTTGATTGTAGAGGAGAGCTCTAATGTATGGACCACACATTGTTTCCACTATCGCTATGTGCACTTGTACAATGAGTATATATTACATAATTCTTATGTAATTCTTATCCCAGGTCACAGGATCTACATGGAAAAAGAGCATGAATTTATAGACACATCCCTTATGTCGAGATATTAGGTTGTTGCAGATATATCCTATATGTCGAGGCCATATATTTGCAAAACTGTTAGTTAGAATGCAATTTACACAATCCCTGCTTAGCTGCAGTCATTTTCCCCTGGGAATTATAGTTCACCTTAAACAGGCAGTAGTAGATTAAGCAAATTTGAGACAGTGCTGTAAGTAATGGAGCCATAGAACCACAGTGAAACAAAAGGATGCTTCTCGGCCATGAATGAAATCTATTAAATAGATTCTGAAATCTAAATAAGAATTTCATTGATGTGCCATCTCAATAATACCTCCTAGTAGCTTAGGAGGCAAATGAAAAAGAGCATCATTTCATATTTATTCCTCTAATATTAATTTTGTCAATATTACCAATATCGGAGGCAGCACAATATGTCTGAGACACCAAGGTATTTGCTACTGAATTGAAGAGCTATTTTTAAATGATTGTGACAAAATACATAAAAATCAGACTGTAAATATTTTTTTCGGGTTTTGTGAAACCATAGATCAAGGCGCTCCCAATGGGCACTATTCTTGAGTGCATCTTCTCTTTGCCATTGCCCATTTGTTTGGCCCTCTCTGAAATCAACGGGCACCATGTACAGAAAGAGAAGGTATCTGTAAACTGTCACTCCTTTCCTACAGCTTTCTTGTTTAAAGAGGGCAGATTATCAGACAATAGCATGAAGAGGAACAGGGCCACAAGTCTCCAAAAATTGCTGGCACTCCTCTTCTGAAGAACAGGTTTCAGTCTATCTGCCTTGATTCTGAGACTACATATCGGATATCACCTTAAGCTCTGATCAGATATCTGATCTGTGAAGAGGCCTACAAAAAAATCTCTTCTCACCCTTATGGGTGATTTGTGTCTTCCTTAGTTTGTGTCCTCTACCAGAGGCCTGGGAGTTTGAGGGTTCTGTGCAGTATATTAACTGTTCTAGCACTGCACTCTTCTGGAAAGAAAGCTGTTGTTGGGATCTGATTGAGCTACTCTCCCAACGTAGGTGTCACAGCTCTAAGTGTTCCCATCACCACTTGGGACCACTTTCGCCTTTATTTTCCACACCCTCTCTACTTGCACTGGTTTTATGTGACTTCTCTTTGTCCTAGATGTTCTTCCATTATTGTTCAGTTTCAAGTGTTGATGGCTGTGTGTTGCACTGCAGTTGAGAGTGCACCTTGGATGGCTCTTTGGAAAACAGGGCATTTATCTTCTTGGCCTGTATTTCTCTAGTACAGTGTTTCTCAACCTTGACTAGTTTAAGATGTATGGACTTCAACTCCCAGAATTTCCCAGCCAGCATGCTCATCTAGGAAGTCTGGGAATTGAAGTCCACACATCTTAAAGTAGTCAAGGTTGAGAAACACTGCTCTAGTACATCTCCTTAGACTGGTAGTCAGTGCTGTCAACCTTTGTTTAGCAGCCTCCAGGTCTTCAAATGGAGTCAGGCCCTTGTATTTTCTCAATAGCTGAGTCTTATCTTCTAATCTTCATATCCCTATGTAAGTCTACTAGCTGACAAACCTGTCTGTGATCTTTATCTTAGCTTCTAACCTCATTTTCCAGGAGATTTAGGTACTACTGTTCTTCATGATTGTGCAGTCAAACATCTCCAGGATTACAGCAGCTGTAGCATATACCAGTTCATTGGTTTGAGTTATGGTGGCAATTGTGTGAAGACACTATTAGCGTCTTGTAGCATACTACCTAATGGTACTTCTTCACTGAATCTTGGTAACCAGACTTGAGGGTTAAGTGTAGCTAGTTTATCAATGTCTCATATCAGCAACGATGCTCTATAATAGAGAGGATGATAGTGACATTCCAGCTCCAGGTATTGGCTGCACATCATTCTTCTATCTCAAAGCAGCTTCCTCTTCATTATGCTAAAGCATTGGGTAACTAGCTGTTTTTCAGTTAGTGTAGACATAGGTCTTCTGTCCATCTCATAGTTCCCTCATATGTTTCATATATCCCCTCTCATTAAGTCTGCTGAAGTAGTAAAAAAATGACAATAAAGGTTCTCTTATCTTAATAGCATTCCATTGACTCCAGGTTCTCTTATCTCAGATATTTATGGCTTGTTCCATATCTATCCAGCCTCTCAGAGATTTCAGCCTATATTCCTTGCTTTTGAAACTACAGATCAGATATCAGTCTAGGCCAGTGGTTCTCAACCTTTTTAATGCCGCGACCCCCAACCGGTTGTAAATCGAGGACTACTCAACCGGTCGTAAGTCAAGGACTACTCAACTGGTGCAGCACCGTTTGCAGAATGGTACTTTTGTTGGGCTCAGCAGGGCAGAGACAGCCTGGACAATTCCTATTGGCTTTTGAAAGCCAATAGAATTAGACTCTATTCAAGAGAGTCTATTCTATTGGCTTTCAAAAGCCAATAGAATAAAAGGGAGTAGCACAGCTAAGGAAAAGGGGGAAAAAATGGCAGACTGCGTTGTTTGGCGACCCCCGTGAAATGGTCATTCGACCCCAAATGGGGTCCCGACCCACAGGTTGAGAACCACTGGTCTAGGCTAAATTCATATATTGATCTGTGAAGACACACACACACACATACACACACACAGAGAGAGAGAGAGAGAGAGAGAGAGAGAGAGAGAGAGAGAGAGAGAGAGGTGTTTGTGTATTTCATATGCATTTGATGTTCATTCTCTATCATATGCACACAAATCTGCAATTCTCTTTGAGTAGAACACTTTTGCATATATATTCAAATGTGGCTACTGTGAAAGAATGGGGCCAGTGGGAATTTATCCTGATCTCTCCCACCATGTTTACAGTCTCCATATGTCTGTATATTCCTCAGTAATTTTTCATCAGTTGTTAGGATGGCATCTCTCTAGAAGTCAATAATTAATACTAAAGATGACAAATAGGAAACAAATAGGAAAAATGACTATTCCATCCTGTCCAATAGTGATTAAAATATGAATAAAATAAGCTAATAAAAATATGTGCTGAAATAATCTGCATAGAAAAGAATAATGTGTACCAAAGTAGCAAAAAATGTACAAGTACTTGCGTGTACTTTATAAAAGAACAGATTGTCTTAATCATGAAATGGGAGACAAATTGTGAAACAGTATAAACTAAATTATAGTAAAGTGAACTATTTCCAGGCATGTAACATCAATGAATTCTTTGCATAATTCAACCCAAAA